CTCCAGGAGCAGTGATTTTTTTTAGAGCATTTCTATTGTGAATAATAAAAGTCAGCTTATATATGTATTTTATTTTATAAATACTTAGAAGTTGTATTCATGGGTCATATGATTGACCTATTGTTCCACATTAGTAGACAGATAAAGAGTTTTCAAAGATATTCCATTTATGCACACTCCCACTGGCAGTGTGTGAGAACTCTCATAATTCCATATCTTTTTCAACCCTTGATGTGGTAAGGTTTTTTGTCATCTTGTTGATTTGTAGTACATCACTCTGTGGTTTAATATGCTTTTTCCTGATGATTAATGATGTTTCAGCATCTTTTCATGAGTTGCTTATTGATCATTCAGATGCCCTCTTTTATGAAGTGCCTGTTTAATCTTTGCCCACTTTCAAAATTGGGTTTTCTGTCTTTTTCTAATTGACTTTAGCAGTCCTGTTAATGTCTGGAACCAGTCTTTTATTGGTTATATATATTACAAATAATTTCTCCCACTCTGCAGCTTACCGTTAATTCTGTTAATGATTTTTTTTTTTTTTGACAGGCAGAGTGGACAGTGAGAGAGAGAGACAGAGAGAAAGGTCTTCCTTTGCCGTTGGTTCACCCTCCAATGGCCACCGCGGTCGGTGCGCTGCGGCTGGCGCACCGCACTGATCCGATGGCAGGAGCCAGGTACTTCTCCTGGTCTCCCATGGGGTGCAGGGCCCAAGTACTTGGGCCATCCTCCACTGCACTCCCTGGCCACAGCAGAGGGCTGGCCTGGAAGAGGGGCAACCGGGACAGAATCCGGTGCCCTGACCGGGACTAGAACCCGGTGTGCCGGCGCCGCAGGCAGAGGATTAGCCTAGTGAGCCGCATAATGAAGTTAAATTTATCATTTGCCTATGTTTAGTATTTTCTGCTTGTTTTTACAGTCTGCTTACCACTGTCATAAAGATATTACTCTGTTATCTTCTACAATCCACCTGAAATTTCTATTTTTATCATGTGAGTTATTAATCATGATTTAGTGTATTTCTATAGTGATATATAGTTACCATAACAAAATATGTTCAAAAGGTTGTCTTTTCACACTTTATCTCTGATAATGCTTTGATGACATTGTATCATTCCTATCCTTTTACTTACTACTTGTTCATAAGCTTATAATTAATGCATGTCTCCTGTAAACTCTATATAATTAGATTTTGATCTTTTATTCTAATCTAAGATCTTTGTCTTTTAAATATATTATTTATCTACTTATATTTAATGTAATTCCTGATCTATTTGGGTTTACATCTTTCCACTATTTTTCACATCTGTTTCATGTTCAGTTCTTCCTCTTATTGTTTTCATTAAAGTAATAATAAAGTTGTACTAATTGTTAAAATTCTCTTCCATATTAGCTTGCCTCTTATATACTCTTTTACTTTTGTGTTTTATGATTACTATAAAGAGTTCAGTGTGAATCCTTGACTTTTCAGTCTAATATAAATGGACATTTTTACTATTTTCTGGACAATTCTAGGATCTGAAAATATTTTAGTTGCTGTTGCTTTCTCCTTCCCTTTGCACTGATTGTCATGTATTTTAATTTTACATGTATTTTAGACCATAAGTAGTCTGGGTGCTCGTGACTGTGGGAGGTTTGTGTGCCGGGACTGTGAAAACACTGAAGCTGTGTGGGAGGACTCAAGGTATGGCTGGACATTGGCCAGTCACTGTGGGAGGCTCTACACAATCAGGACTTCCTGGTTACCTGGCAAGGGACATTGTTGAGTAATCTGAGCTTACACTGAGGACTACCTAGATTCTTTGTGTGGTCCTTGTGGCACAGCAAACAAATAATATACTCACTGGGGCAGGCGCCCAGGCACTGGTCTCCTTCAAGGAGAGGAGCTCAGCTAAGTCTATGCCAACAGACAAGAATAAAACTCCCCTCTGATGAAAAATAAAAATTAAAAATTAAAAAGGAGATTTACCACACCAAATCTGAGTGTGTCACCTCAGACACCCTTCACCCTGGAGCACTGAGCAGAGCTCCCTGGCCACACCCACCACATGCTTCTAGGTATTCCTGAAAGCAGACACTCCACTGATCCATCTAGATATAATCCAGAGGTAAAGTCTCCACAGTGAACAAAGCAAAGAAGAAACCAACGAGTATCTCCACAAATGTGGGATAACAAATGCACCAGTTCAAGAAACAAGAATAAAGAAAACAACATGACACCCCCAAAAGAATGCACTTCAGTTCTAGACTGTGAAGATGATGAGATTGAAAAAATGCCACAAATGGAATCCAAAACATTGATCATAGGATTACTTAGAAGTAATCAGAAGCAAATGCACAACTAATGAATTCCATACATGACATGAAAGAAAATTTCTCCCATGAAATTGAGATCTTAAAGAGAAACCAAATGAGGCCGGCGCCGTGGCTCACTAGGCTAATCCTCCACCTTGCGGCGCACCGGGTTCTAGTCCCGGTCGGGGTGCCGGATTCTGTCCCGGTTGCCCCTCTTCCAGGCCAGCTCTCTGCTGTGGCCAGGGAGTGCAGTGGAAGATGGCCCAAGTGCTTGGGCCCTGCACCCCATGGGAGACCAGGATAAGCACCTGGCTCCTGGCTTTGGATCAGCACGGTGCGCTGGCTGCAGCGCCCCGGCTGCGGCGGCCATTGGAGGGTGAACCAACAGCAAAGGAAGACCTTTCTCTCTGTCTGTGTCTCTCACTGTCCACTCTGCCTGTAAAAAAAAAAAGAGAGAGAGAGAGAGAAACCAAATGAAATCTTGGAAATGAAAAATTCAATAGAACAAATAAAAAACAAAAAAACACAGTGGAAGCCTTAACAACAGAATCAGTGAAACAGAAGAAAGAATATCCAACTTAGACGACAAAGCACAGGAAATTATACAATAAGACCAAACACAAGAAAAAGAAATTAGAAAAATAAAAAACACTGTTGGGAATCTATAGGATACTATCAACAATCAACAAATGCTGGTGAGGATGTGGGGAGAAAGGTACACTAATCCACTGTTGGTGGGGATGTAAACTGGTAAAACCACTATGGAAGTCAGTTTGGAGATACCTCAGAAATCTGAATATAGACCTACCATAGGACCCAGCCATCCTACTACTGGGTATTTACCCAAGAAAAATAAAATAAGCAAATAAAAGAATTATCTGCACCACCATATTTATGCAGCTCAATTTACATAGCTAAGACATGGAATTCACCTAAATGCCCGTCAAGGGAAGACTGGATAAAGAAATTATGGGATATGTACTTTATGGAATACTACATAGAGGTAAAAAAAATGAAATCTGGTCATTTGCAACAAAATGGATGAATCTGGGAAACATCATACTTAGTGAAATAAGCCAGTCCCAAAGGGACAAATACCATATGATCTCCCTGATCTGTGATAACTAATAGAGCACCTAAAAACAAATCTGTAGAATGAAATTGACACTTTGAGAAGCAATGACTTGAACAGCCCTTGTCTTGACTGTTGAAGAACTTTTTTAAAAATGGAGAATGGGACTGGGAATGGGAGAGGGAGTAAGAGGTGGGGTGAGATTGGGGGTGGGAGGGCAGGTATGGTGGGAAGAATTACTATATTGCTAAGATTGTACTTATAAAATTTGTACTGATTAAATAAAAGGTTTCTTTGAAAAAAAAGTATCTATCATGAAATCAAATGGATGAATGAAAGATATACTTTTTTTAAATGCAAGATTTTTGAGTTTTCATGAAAAATGAAAAAATTTGTCTACCCCAAGTCCATGTGTCCTACAGATTTAATTGGACTGCACTTGTAACAGACTCCCTACAAGGAAATGTCCTTCCTACCAGCCAGAATCATTTCTTTCTGTTCTCTTTTGGCACCAAGGCTGAATATCTGTTGTGCATTTAATACCACCCCTGCTTGGCTCTCTTTATATGCATTGTATGCTGGGCACGCTAGCATTGGATTTTATGCTCCATGTTAATAGGTTCTAACAATGGAGTGGAAAACAAGATAGAAATAAGCCCTGACCTCAGAGAACAAACCAAAAATCATATAAATAATTAGGATTATGATAAGTAGTCTGAAGGAAAAGTACAAGATGTTAAAGAGAGAAATCATAAAATGTCTCTAATTGGAAGGGAGGGAAGGTTCCTGCAAGAAAAGTTTATTTAAGCTGAAATCTGAAGATACAGCAATTCAGCCGGATGTAGGTATGGGCATATATGGACTGCTGTTGTTTGATGGGAGAGAGATGGTCCAGGAAAATAAAATAGCACATGCATTTGTACTGAGCTGGGGAGAGTTAGGCAGATCTGAGGACCCAAAGAAAGTGCATAGGTTGGAACATCGATATGGACAGAGGCTATGTTGTATTTGGCCACTGGGTCTAGATGGTCTTGTAGAAGACCAAGTGGGCCGGCGCCGCGCCTCACTAGGCTAATCCTCTGCCTTGCAGCCCTGGCACACCGGGTTCTAGTCCCGGTCGGGGCGCCAGATTCTGTCCTGGTTGCCCCTCTTCCAGGCCTGCTGTCTGCTGTGGCCAGGGAGTGCAGTGGAGGATGGCCCAAGTGCTTGGGCCCTGCACCCCATGGGAGACCAGGAGAAGCACCTGGTTCCTGCCATCCGATCAGCGCGGTGTGCTGGCCACAGCACGCCGGCCGTGGCGGCCATTGGAGGGTGAACCAACAGCAAAGGAAGACCTTTCTCTCTGTCTGTGTCTCTCACTGTCCACTCTGCCTGTCAAAAAAAAAAAAAAAAAAAAAAAAAAAAAAAGACCAAGTGGCTATGGAGGACCAACACTTATTGTGTGAGAACTTGATGGTATACAGATCTGGCACTCTGAATCTTCTGGCTGAAATAATTTGTTACAATATGAAATGAAATTAAGGATAACATGTCTAGCAGACTTCTATCTAGGTAAATAAGCTATTGACTTGGTCACCATTGATGAGTCACCATTGGGTTAATTTTTATGCTTTTGTTTCCTCCTCTGCCTTAGCTGCAAGTGTCCCCTGCTTGGAAGAGTGTGGGAAGCTGACTTGGAAGCTTGTCGACTGCTTATTCAGAGTCTGCAGCTACAGGAAGCCAAAGGCAGCCTGTGTGTGGAAGATGAGGGGCAGATGGGTGACTTAGAAGGAGCTGCCTGGGCAGTGGCTCCCAGTGTCCCTCCCAGTCCCCACTCTGAAGATGAGAGGACGACCCTTCTGCAAGCTGACCAAGAGTGGAAGGCTCATCATACCCCCTCCCCTCTATGCAGAGGAGGCGAACAAAAAGAGGTGTGTCCTGTCGGCGTGGCCTTCACAGGAAGGCCTGCTCTGGTGGGTGCTTTGGGACCATGCTGTACACAGAAGCAGCACATTTTGGGCAGGCTTATCATCAAACCACACAAACTTGGAAAAGTTTTTTTTTTTTTAGTCAGAGTGGACAGGCAGAGTGGACAGTGAGAGAGAGAGACAGAGAGAAAGGTCTTCCTTTTGCCATTGGTTGACCCTCCAATGGCCGCCGCGGCCAGCGCACCGCGCTGATCCGAAGGCAGGAGCCAGGTGCTTCTCCTGGTCTCCCATGGGGTGCAGGGCCCAAGCACTTGGGCCATCCTCCACTGCCTTCCCGGGCCACAGCAGAGAGCTGGCCTGGAAGAGGGGCAGCCGGGACAGAATCCGTTGCCCCGACCGGGACTAGAACCCGGTGTGCCAGCGCTGCAAGGCAGAGGATTAGTCTAGTGAGCCACGGCGCCAGCAAACTTGGAAAAGTTTTAATAGCTATTGAATATGATTACAAAATTAAATAGAATTTTTATAGAAGAAATTTTAAACAGAGAAGGACAAGCAGGGAAAATGTTTAACATATTTAGTTTTATTTTTATACTAATATCATAGCTAGATTTAGAATATACAGGCTAATATAGAACTACTTTATATAGGCCACATTATACATGTCAAATATAACTTACAGTTATTATCAATATCCCATCCATGTCATATGTGACATTTAATTATATGTTTAGAATATATTATATTATTACTTTATGGAATTAAGCATTCAAGTATATGTCTACATACTACTAATTTTCTTTACCAAAATCAGATCATAATAAATGGTTGTAATGTGTTTTTTCATAAAAGAACAAGAACTAATATTTGGCCTGGGATATACGTACTACAAATGAAAATGTGGTTTTATTTGATTCTTTATGCTGGAGGCAGACTTGCATGAAGAGAGATGACCTCCCTGGCCTGCTGTCTCCTCCCCTGTCTTTCTCTTCCTCTCTGCTCCTATCCCTCCCCTCTGCCCTCTCTCCCTGTCTTCCCTCTCGAGTCTCCCTCTCTCTGTTCTTTCTCTCCTCTCTTTTTCTCTTGCTCCCCACCTCTCATTATAACAAAAGTCCTTTCAAGGAAAAAGAGCTCCAGGAACTTTGTCCTGATTTCACCGTATTCACTGTAGTCCTCAGGGCTCTTTGTGTGGCCAGGTTACCCGGTATTTTGAGCATGAAAAGGAAACAGAAGCCTGGAGGCTAGAAGAATGTGCTGCTTGGCTGTCTCATGGTTGATTTTAGACATTAAACCCTTCCCTGGGCCTTTGCCAGAACTCACCATGAATGGCTGGGGAGAGCATTCCTCTCCCCACCCCGCCCCATCACAGTTCACATCCTGTCTGCAGATCCGTGGTCTTTGCAGAGTGGCCAGTCATGTACTTTACTGGAACATGACATTTAGTCACAGCCTTCTGGACTGCTGAGAAATTTGACCCGCAGTCTTCTATGTGAATCGAATGAGCTTATGAGAACCCAGGCTGTTGTCAGTCTGGAATCGTTGCTGGCCAAATCACATTAGGTTCAATATGGAACTACAGATGATGGATCTAAGCTGCTTTGTTAATACAGCCACTGCAGGTGGAATCTTCCTGTTGACCTAAATAACACAGAGCAATTCTCCAAAGGTTAATATACTAAGTGAAAATTGTGAATATAATATAATTAGTGAAATATATTTAGTGAAAATAAAATATATATTTTACTGAAAATTGCAGTGGAAATATACAGAGCTTAGTAAACAATGTGCATTTCAAATAGGTTAAAATATGGGAAAGTTTTTAAGGGGAAAATGAGGAAGATGACTTAAATTGTTTTGAAACAATTATCCTTGGCTACAGGTGTAATAAAGGTGGTGTCAGTAGAAGCTTGCATAGGCAGACCAAGATCTACAGGGCAGACATCCTTGTAGAAGTATTTTCTGTGTGAAGTATTGGTGATTTTGTAATAGTTCTAGTTATTAGGCACACATGTGTGAGGTCTCCTCCTCTATAATCTCCTGGATTTATTTATATTTCTGTTAGGGATTGGTATTTTGAGACTGACCACTTTCTCACTCCCCAGCTTGGCCTCCAGTGGTTTAAGCAGAGATGTTGAAAATCTGCCGCCTGCTGCAAGTGGATGGGTCGAAAGCATCTATTCTGATGGAGCAAAGTGTCTCCTAAACATGGGGGTGAAAGCCCTGGAAGGAAGAAACTGCGGGCGACCAGGCTGAGCCTTTGAAGGCAGGGCTTCCAAAGTAGGCTCCCAGCAGGTGCTTCATGCAGGGTCCTGATGGAGGTCAGGATTGATTCCACCGAGCTGGTGTCTACCAGGAGTGCAGTCCCTCCCTGTAAGTGCCCATCCATGGAGAGTCCCAGCTGAGCCACCTGTAATGAAAGATTAACAAGGGAACAGATACACATTTATTTAACATTAAATTTTGGCTGGCACCACGGCTCTATAGGCTAATCCTCCGCCTGCGGCGCCAGCACACTGGGTTCGGGTTCTAGTCCCGGTCTGGGCACCGGATTCTGTCCCGGTTGCTCCTCTTCCAGGCCAGCTCTCTGCTGTGGCCCAGGAGTGCAGTGGAGGATAGCCTAAGTCCTTGGGTCCTGCACCCACATGGGAGACCAGGAGAAGCACCTGGCTCCTGGCTTCGGATCAGCGTGGTGCGCCGGCCACAGTGTGCTGACCGCATCGGCCATTGGGGGGTGAACCAACGGCAAAGGAAGACCTTTCTCTCTATCTCTCTCTCTCACTGTCCACTCTGCCTGCCAAAAAATATATAAATAAATAAATAAAAATAAATAAAAAATAAAAAATAACATTAAATTTTATGTGATATAGGAGTCTTCAGAAATGCAGTCTCAAAGAAAAAGGAAAATCTGTGTATTGTTATGCTTAGTGTCATGAACAAGTGGGCAGTTGTGGAGAACTGTGATTGAGCAAAAGGGGAATGGTTTAGTGGTCATAAAGTGGGGGGAACTTAGCAAGGGCTGTTGTGCAGATTCTTCTCTGTGTCCCTGTATCTTCACAGGTAAGGATGTTTCTTTCCTCTGAGTATAGGGAGGGCCTCTCTTATATCAGAGTCTTAGGAGCAGCTTCAGAGGAAGGCCACAGAACTCTTATGTGCCCTGCGAAGAAGGGCAGGAGGCAATCAGAGAGCTCCTCCTGCTTCTGCCATATCCACACATGCCAATGTGCCATATTTTGGATGGTTTGTCCTGAATACCATCACTCCTGCACCACGCTCTCCCTTCCTCACTGAGTTCCCTTGCCCACCAGGATCGGGGAGGGGGGGGGCGGGGATGACATTGCCAGGTACAGGGGGCTTTTCTTCATCCATCAGATTGTAAGTGCCTGCCGGTTCATTATCTGGTTATGGGAAAACAGGACTGTATTTGCCAAAAAAAGTAGGACATTAGGGAACAAGTATGCAAGAAGAATTAGAGATTTGCCTTATAATGACTTGAATCCCGTAAAAGTCCCATGGGCTGCCAACCATGTTCCATCCCTGAGCATCCTGGTTCCTCTCCACCAGTGGCCGAAGATGTCCCATGATTAGTTTGTGGCTTTCCTAGTGAAGGGGGGCTCTAGAGGGGACTTTAAAGTTTTTGCTGCCTTTCAGTGCCGTTGTCACATGTTCGTACTGCAACAGCAGGTTTAAACAGTGTCCCTCTTAGAAGTAACCCCCTTATACAGTAATCCCTTTATCTGTGGTTGCATGTTCCATGGTTTCTTTTATCCATGATCGTTTGCTAACCAAAAATATTACATGATAAATTCCAGAAATAAACAATGCATAAGTTTTAAATTGAGTTCCAAATAGTATGATTGAATCTCATGCCATCCTGCTCAGTCTGGCTTGCAAAATGAATCATTCCTTTGTCCAGCATAGCTACACTTTGTGCAATACCTGCCCATTAATCACTGAAGTAGCCACCTTGGTCATCTGATCAGCTGTCACCATATGGCTGTGCTTGTGTTCACATAATCTTTATTTCTCTAAGTCATGTCCCCAAGCACAAGAGTAGTGGTGCTGGCAGTTTGGAGATACCTAAGTGAAGCTGGGAAGTGCTTCCTTACTAAGGAGAGGCAAAAAGAAGCATATGTTGAAGTCACTAAGATTTAGTCTGAAACATTTTAAGAGAGAAAGGGAAGCCACGTTCACATAAGTTCTGTTATAGTAGATTATTATAATCTAATTTGTTAGTTATAGTTGCTGATATCTTATTGTGACTGATACATGAATAATCATTGTCATGTGTATGTAAGTATGGTCTTCAAAAAGCTTATGGAAAATGGATATTTTAAAAATGCACAAGGGGCCAGCGTTGTGGCTTAGTAGGTTAAGCTACTGCCTGGATGCCAGTATCCCATAAGGGCACCCATTCATATCCTAGCTACTCCACCTCCAGTCCAGATCCCTGCTAGTGCACCTGGAAAATCAGCAGAAGATGGCCCAAATGCTTGGGCCCCTGCTACCCTTATGGGAGACCTGGAAGATGCTCCTGGTTCCTGTCTTCATCCTGGCTCAGTGCTGGCCATTGCAGCCATCTAGGGAGTGAACCAGCGAATGCCAAGATACCTCTGTCTCTCTCAACTCTGACTTTCAAATAAATAAATCTTTAAAAAAATCCCACAAATTTTAAAACAGTTTGCACCAAAATAACATCATTTAATTCCATTTTCCACAGTCTTTTAGAAGTACCCTCATTTGAAGCCAGTGCCGTGGCTCACTAGGCTAATCCTCTGCCTGCGGCTCCGGCACCCCGGGTTCTAGTCCAGGTTGGGGCGCCAGTTCTGTCCCGGTTGCTCCTCTTCCAGTCCAGCTCTCTGCTGTGGCCCGGGAAGACACTGGAGGATGGCCAAGTGCTTGGGCCCTGCACCCGCATGGGAGACCAGGAGGAAGCACCTGGCTCCTGGCTTCGGATCAGCGCAGCGCGCCGGCCTTAGCAGCCATTTGGGGGGTGAACCAAGGAAGGA